CTAATATATTGACTAAACAACCCACACTTGAATGAGGAATGGTTCAAAAGAGAAATTAAGAAAGAAATAAAAGTATTCCTAGAACTAAATGAAAAGGACAGTACAACACAATAAAACCTCTGGGACACGTTGAAAGCTGTCCTTAGGATGAAGTTTATAGCTCTAAGTGCCTACATCAAAAAATGGGAAAGAACACAAATAAATGACTTAACATTGCAACTCAAGACACTGTAAAGCAACAACAAATGAAACCCAAACCCAGCAGATAAGAAGAAATAACAAAAATTAGGGAAGAAATTAATGAAACAGAAAGAAAGAAAACAATACAAAGAATCAACAATTCTAAGAGCTGGTTCTTTGAAAAGATAAGATTGACAGACTGCTAGCCCAGCTAACCAACAGAAAGAAAGAGCACCTCCAAATCAACAAAATCAGAGATGAAAGGGGAAACATAACAACAGACACCAGAAAAATACAGAATATTATAAGTGAATGCTTTAAAAACCTATATGCTACTAAATTTGAAAATCTAAAAGAAATAGATGGATATCTAAAGGCATGGGAACCACCAAAACTCAACCAAGAAGAGATTAACAGCTTAAATGGATCTATAACACAAGAGGAAATTGAAACAGTAATACAAAACCTCCTGACAAAAAAAAAAAAAAAAAAAAGCCCAGGACCAGATGGATTTACAGCAGAATTCTATCAGACATTTAAAGATCTGCATCCAGTACTTCTTAGTTTATTCAAAGATAGAAATGGAGGGAGAACTTCCAAATTCCTTCTATGAAGCCAACATCACTCTAATACCTAAGCCAGTAAAGATCAACCAAGAAAGAAAACTATAGACCTATATACCTCATGAACATAGATGCAAAAATTCTCAATAAGATACTTGCAAACCACAAACAGGCACACATCAAAAAGATCATCCACCATGATCAACTCGGCTTTATCCCAGAGATGCAGAGATGGTTCAATATATGTAAGTCAATAAACATCATAAATCATACAAATGGGCTCAAAGACAAGAACCACATGGTCATCTCAATAGATGCAGAGAAGGCCTTTGACAAAATTCAGCATGCATTTATGTTCAAAGTCCTAGAGGGAACTGGACTGGAGGGAACATACCTCAACATAATCAAAGCCATATATAACAGACCCACAGCTAACATCATTCCAAATGGAGAAAAATGGACACATTCCCATTGAAATCAGGAAGCAGACAAGGCTATCCACTATCTCCACTTCTCTTTAACACAGTGCTTGAAACTCTTGCAAGAGCAATAAGACAAGAGCAGGAAATTAAAGGAGTAATAATTGGAAGAGATCAAATTATCCCTTTTTATAGATAATATGACATTATAACTAAGAGACACCAAAAATTCCACGAGAAAAGTCCTAGAAATTATTAACACATTCAGTAAAGTGGCAGGTTACAAAAAAAAATCTTGGAATAAACCTGACCAAAGACATTAAAGACCTCTACAATGAAAATTTTAAGTCTTAAAGAGATTGAGGACGACATCAGAAGATGGAAGGACCTCCCGTGCTTGTGGATTGGAAGAATTAATATTGTGAAAATGACCATCGTACCAAAAAGCCATTTATTGATTCAGTGCAGTGCCAATCCCTATGACATTTTTCAAAGAATTGGAAAAAAAATCCTAAAATTCATATGGAAACACAAAAGACCTCAGATAGCCAAAGTAACCCTGAGCACTAAGAGCAATGCCAGGGGAATTACTGTATGAGGTTTTAAGCTGTATTACATAACTATAGTCATCAAAACAACATGGTACTGGCACAAAAATAGACCCATAGATCAATGGAACAAAATGAAAGACTCAAATATGAGTACATGCAATTTCAGTCACCAGATATTTGACAAAGGTGCCAAGAATATTCACTGGAGGAAAGACAGCATGTTCAGAAAATGGTGCTGGCAAAACTGGTTTTCCACCTGTAGAAGTATGACGCTGAACCCCTGTCTTTCACCTAGCACAAAAATCAACTCCATGTGGACCAAAGACCTCTTTAAGATTTCACCTTACCCCAGTCAGACTGGCTAAGATCAAGAGAAGAAATGATACCATTAATATTCAGAGGATGTGGGGAAAGGGAACACTTATCCACTGCTGGTGGGGCTGCAAACTTGTTCAACCCCTATGGAAAGCAGTGTGGAGAGCTCTTAAAAAACTACAAATGAACCTACCATTTGACCCAGTTATACTACTCCTTGGCATATACCCAAAGAACTCATCCTATTGCAGAGACACTTGTACATCCATGTTTGTTGCTGCTCTTTTCACAATAGCTAAGAGATGGAAAAAACCTAAGTGTCCCTTAATTGATGAGTGGATAATGAAAATGTGGTTCATATATACGATGGAGTTTTA